TCAGGCTTTTTCCAGAGCTATTAACAATGGATGAATTTTTTTTTCTTATTAAATATTGGGTACTTACTATTCCAGTAATTCAGAGTTTTCAGAATTTGTTCATAAAATTCACTATTATAGAACAATTTTATTTACTTATTATATAAAATATTGTTGGAAAATTTAAGCTTGATTTAATGTCCTGTACAAGAAAATTAAAAAGTGCGTAAGCTTCAAATATATAAACAATTTTAGGCAGGCACTACAATTTTAATCTACGTTGAATATTATCAGAAACCCAACCACTATATAACGTTTAGAATTTGCTCATATTATTATTAAGATGACCTTATTTGCTTTTATTAATATTAAGATGATCTTATTGCTTAAATAAAATCTATTATATAAATTATTAATGTGTTCATCGAACGGTTAAAATATTTGAATTATTTTACAAAATTGTAAGATTATTGAGTACTTTTAATGAATTTTCAAAAAACTTTTCAAATGGGCAATTTAACCATCAGTTCTGTTAATTGTCAAACAATATCAATGTATCTCCATTACACTGATAGAATAAATTTAAATAATTTCTGGGAAACCGTGCTTATGACACAAAAATAATCATTAAGCACCTAATGTACGAGTAGATTTAGTATAATTTGGAAGATTTAGACGTTAGAAAGTACTAAAGTTATCAGAAGAAGTAATTTCACTATTGTAAGTGTAAACAGAACGGAAGCTGGTCATGGCCGGTTGAACGCACATCGAACAATTCATTATTACTATAAACGTCGTGTACAGACAATTCAAAACATCATAATTATGGCGCTAATAAAAATAAAGAAATTAAATGACTATGCATTAATATATAAAAATTCTATTTGGTTGATTCATCGGCGCGATCTGTATGGTGAAGTAATTTACAGCAGATTAATCTAAAAAGTAATAAATAAAATAAGTAATAGATCTTTTCGTATACAATAACTCAAAATAATATTTGAGCATCACATGGTGGGAAGTATGTATTTTTTAATAATGTATTTTCATGTTCGTCGAGCAAGGTATTAAAATGTCAAGAAAAAACTATTTTTTTTAGTTTCTTAAACCTCTTTTTCAACGTTTTTAGATTAAAATGCCATTTCTTAAAATGAGTGTTAGGACATGCCAAATGAATTTGGACATTTTTTTGTTGTTTTTTAAACAGCAATCAGAACTTGAGTCCTATAAGCCGTTGGGCTAATTTGAATTAATACTATGTCAGTTTTATAGATGGCAACCCAAACAGTTGTCTCGTCCCAAGGAGATAAATTTTGGGACGAATATTTTATTGATGCAGCAATGCCGGATGAGGACTACAGAGCATATTGCTTTTTATATTTCCAAGTAAAAACCGTTGTCACTACTGCTTGAAATCAGGCTCTTCGAAGCGGGATAGAACCGCGATCGAAGTTAAAAAAAAACATTGTATTTGTATTTCTAACGCGCTAAGTCTATTCCATTTGTTTTTGCAAAAGATTTAAGAACCTTATCCGGGAACAAAAAAAGAATACTTCGTATATGCTTATCAAAAATTAAGATATTTTTGAGAGATATTAACAACGGATGTAATTTTTTTTCTTATTAAAATTTAGGTACCTACTATGCCAGCATATTGAGAATTTTCAGAATTTGTTCATAAAATTCGCTATTATAAAACAATTTTATTTATCTATTATATCAAATATTGTTGGAAAAGTCAAGCTTGATTTAATGTCCTGTATAAGAAAATTGAAAAGTACATTAGCTTCAAATATATAAACAATTTTAGCAACCACTATATAATGTTTCGAATTTGCTCATATTATTATTAGAATGATCTATCTTATTGCCTAAATTAAATCTATTATATAAATTATTAATGTGTTCATCAAACAGTTAAAAAAATTGATATTTAAAAATTGATATTTGAAAATTGATATTTTACAAAATTTTAAAATTATTGAGTACTTTTACTGAATTTTCAAGGAACTTTTCAAATATAAACCCAGGAATATGCATACATCAATGTGTGTATGTATTTCCTCAAGACATTATAAATTAATTATTTTAATCGGGCATAGTAAAATGTAATCAAATTTTCATAGAAGTATGTTACTCAAACTATACAGAAATTAAACTATTTAATTTCTTTTAGAATATCATTATATATTACAAAATAATTAAAACTACCTTTCAATATGTAATAAATTTAATAACTGTGTATATTTTCGTTGATAATAAATTGCCTTTAGATAAAAAAAATATTAATTTGACGATTATAATCTGATAATTGATCTATTATATCGTTATATACGATGAATGCTATAGCATCGAAGTCGTTCTGCTTCACAATGAAAGTGGTTGAAAATTTGTATTTACGTTTGCAAATATGTTAAAATAGTTCCAGAATATGCAGAAATATTTATATAAAATAAGATTATTAATTCACATTTATAAAATTGCCAGAAATTTATTGCTATAGTATTGGAGAACATATATATTTCCATCATACCCGGACGTTCAATCACTGGATTGGAATTCGATTTAGACATTTTTTAATTACGAAGACAAATTTTAAGGATAGAATAGGTGCAAATGTTAATCATTTAAAAAAAATTGAAAATATTTCATATTTAATTAATTGATGCATAACATGCATAAAATTATATAATAGTACAGTAAAAGTTCTTTAGTCCGACTATCAAAAATGTCGGACTATCGAGCGGTAATTATGAAAACACAGTTTGATGATTTCTATCCATTTGATAATTTCTAGTTTCTGATTGAAAGTGCTTTTGTTTCTCTCCTTTTGAATACCAAGGCTTAAGTTTTAAAAACATGATCACACACAGTTAGGTGTTTAAATCTACTGAGATATATATGTACTGTGTCGCTGTATTTAGTAGACCGACTTAAACAAAGCCGAACCCTTCGTAGAACGTAGAAGCTACGTATTTCGTAGAACATACTTTGTTCATGAAGTCAGACGTTAAAATTCATCATAAACACAACAATTAGCGAACAATAGTGAGTCCTTCCGAATGTATCCGAACAACCCCAAAAAGGTACTAATAGCCCTCGAGCGTTTTTATTTGCTATAAAGAAATTTTTTTGAAAAAACAAACTTTTCCAGAAAATGCCGGACTATCGGGCATTCTCAACTGTTGGGTGCCGGACTAAAGGACTTCTACTGTATTTATATTATATAAATATAATTCGACATGCGGCGGTGCGTGTTACAAAAATCCTTCGTGCTTGATATTTATTTACGTGAGTTTACTGTCGCACATATTCAACCCACCGTGCCAAAACAGCAATACAAATGATGTAAATAGAAGCACCCACTTGTTACCTTTTTTATTCCATTAATAAATGGAATCAAGAGGCTACAAGTGGTAATAGTTCAGTAATACAGTTAGTTAGTGGTGTATAATTATTTATTAGAATTGGATAAAACAAAAGTAAGCACAAAAATATTACAGATTCACAAACAGTTCGAAGATTTTTGGTGAATATTTTGCTGATTACAATATTTGTTTGAGCAATTCATGCAGGTCTTGTATACTTCTATCTGTAAGGCACATAAGGATATTTGAATATGAAAATTCACGATTTATGCAAATTTAGGTAAATTCCAAGAATTGCTGATATAAGTAAATATATCAACGTAAGTAAGTAGTAAAATAAATTAAAAAATGAAAAGAAACTTTTAACTAATAAAATTTAACTTTCATAGTATTTAAACAAAAAAAACCTTTTACTTTAAGTTTATTTTAGGAATAATATTTTAACCTTTTCTACTTGGCTTTCCACTCTGTTCGAACGTTATTTACTAGCAACTCGGCGCATAATTTTGAACGAACATGCTGTAAACTTGATATTATTGTGTATGTTATGCAATTTGTTTCATGTGAATTTGTGGACATTGAAGAACATACATTTATAATATCTAAACTTATTTTGTGCAGTATGCTGAAGTTTAAAGCAATTTCCAAATTGTTTTAGCGGGTTGATTCTAATGTCGTTATAATTCATTAGTGTCGTGCAATTTTTCTATCATTTTACAGAAAAAAGTAACGAATCGTTTGTTAAATGTGTCTTTTATGATAAAAAAATTTACTTTAACAATTGCTCGATCGTTTTAGAAAAAAAGACAATATAATATAAAAGGTAAAAAATAATTTGATTATGACTAACAGTAAATTTTGAAAAAGGAACACTATCTCATCAATGCATAGATATATTCTAAGAATGAGCTTAAGATAATAAAATTTCAACTAGGGAGTTGCATTTAATTTTTTAAATTTTATGGCGAGCCGCACTTATTAATATTTTTTAAAGCTTGATATATTTAAATATACATATATGATATATATATATATATATATATATATATATATATAATATACAGAATATGAAAATACGAAATTAAAGGTAAATATTTCATAAATTAATATAACAAGAAAATAATATATTATAATTAATTTATTGATGGAAGAAAGTCGATGAAATTAATAAAATTCTAGTTTACACAAAAGGCAGGCCGCAAAAAAATATTTAAAGGGCCGGTATCAGGAGTTGCTCATCCTTGGTCTACGAATGTGTTCGACGCTTCAGTACGAACTGTGTCATTGTGTATACGATCTGCTGTGTGCCTCAGGGGAGACATCCGAGTGATAGGCGAGACTGACGTTGTCAATTATGTTAAATGTTCAATCAGAATCATATTTCGCGAAACGCTAAAAATTCACACTATAGAAGTTTCTTGTAAGTTTACTATCACGTGTAAAATCAAAACAACCCACATAAAACTGATCATTATCGATTCAAGGAATCTCGAAGATTCATTTACCACAGTCTATCTTCTCGCAAACATTGACGTTTAGCAATTTTGTGGCACACACATATATCCCATTTATGATTTATAACTCATCCGTTACTCAATAACAGTTAAGGTAATGGCAAGATAAATCAGACGCACAACACATTAAAAGACTCACCGATAGTCTTGATCATTTGAAAATCATCCAGCTCGTAGTCCCTGTCTTCGTCGCTAAAGGATCTCCTCTGTTCCTGATCATTGACTTCTTCATCCTCATCTTCAATTGAATTTGTGACTTCATCATCGGAACAAGTCGAAGCACATGTGGACGCGACGTCCTCTTGGTCGTCTCTTCGGAGACCGAGATTAAGGTTCAAGACCCTATCCCTGGACAACTCTATAGCCATCGCGAGTGTTAATAATAATAAATAATGAATTTGAAACGCCGATCCGATCACTGTTTCGAGCACTTATTGAAAACTGTTTGGTTAACTAACCGCTACCAGTTCGACTGCTGTCGTTGCCGGCTTGAACTGTACTAAACAGACTACATGCGAGATAGAAGCGACCGCACGGGAACTACTGGCGAAAAGATGAGACATACGCCGAACTGGTGCACAGGAAAGAGGCCGATAGAGTCGCAACTCCCAACTATTCATCGGACGTGTTTGTATACATCGGATCATCGGATCTATGTACTTAAGTTAAAAACGACGCGTGGTCATGGCAACGTTAACTTTTGATTATGACATTGTTTATGTTGTTATAGCCATTACTGCATATTACCTACTCGGCTCACCACTATTATTCTTATCGCCATTGTAATAAATTTAAATTTATACTATCGGCCAGCATGTTATGTATTTTATGTACGTATTTTATAAATGCATTGCGATGCATTTGAATCGAAATAGCAAGTACCATTCACCACTCTTTAGATACGAAATTATTCAATTCACATATAAAGAAGATTAATAATATATCATGTAAATCGTGTGATTTGAATTATTAGTTAGAAAGATGTACTCGCTCGTAGAAAAATGGCTACAACGACTAGACCTGAATCAGAGGCGCCGGGTTCGACCCCGCTTCGAGCAACATGTTTCCAAGTGAAATAGAAAATGACTGCATCAATAAGTGTTCACCACGTTACAGAAATTATAATAATGTCAGATTAGCAGAACTGCTTATATGACTTTTAAACTCTGGTTGCTATTCCAAACTAGTGGGGCGCATGGCATCGTGCCTTAAGGCAAATTGCTGGAACTTCCCGTACCAAAATTTTTTTTTTAAAAAGATCAACATTTTTGAAAAAAAATTTACTCTGAAAAAATTAGATTTTAGAGAAACTATAAATTTTTGACAAAAATTTACTTTTTTTTGAAAAAAAAGACTTTTTGAAGAAAAGTGTATTTTGAAATATTTTGGAAATACTGAACTTTTTGTCAAAGCAATCGTACTGCTTTAATTGCATAGAGACGAAATATCAAAGCGCGTAAGCGCCGCGCCGCCGTCTATCAGATAAGCATTGGTACGAAACCCATAGGAATGTAAACAAAGTTTATTATTATTGTTAAAATCTCTATAAAATATCTGATAATTTGATGTGCATATGTCTAATGATCATTTTCGGCCGCCAGATGGCATTTTTTTTACTTTTTTTTACTAGATCTCTGAAACCGCTAGACCTGCCTTCATAAAAATGGATCAGTTCTTCATCTTGTTAAAACAAGTGAAATGTTTTTTGAATTATTCAAATCGGGCGCTCCGTTCTCTTAAAAACTGAGTTACCGTTTTTGGCACTTTTTGCCCCATATCTTCGGAACGGCTAGACCTGCCTTTGCCAAAAACTAATCAGCACGTCTCCTTATCAAATCGCTTCATCCGTGTTCCTGTGTTCCATACACACACACACACACATCCATCCATTTTTTCTAAGATATGCCAAAATATTCAGAAACCTCTGAAACGTAAAGATATATAAAAATTTTCATTTTAGATTTTTTTGCGATTACTATAACTTACCCTACGAGAAGTTAATAATGATAAAGAAGTTGGATGGATGGATACGTATATAAAATTTCGGATGGAGATATAGGCGTTGATTCTGCCGTAAAATAGACCAATGTTATGGCAAGGCTTTGTTACGTAGCACTTCTCATACAAAATAATACTAAATTCTGTCAAAATGCCATGTGGTTATTGTGTAGTCAGGCGTTTTAGATAGTAAACCTAAACTCAAAATTCACAAAGGTAAAAAAACAATATTATCATAAGTGCATCTTTGTGATGTGGCATGATTACACATAAGCGCGTTCCAATACTTTTTGATTATAAAATTTCTAACACCAGCATTGATAGATGTAATAAAATTTCCGATTTAGGTGTTCTATTTGATTCTGGTTTGTTTTTCACAGATCATGTTACTGATATTTGTAATAGAGCACATCAATTTTTAGGTTTGATACTAAGAAATTGTAAACAATTCAAGTCTACCAATGCACTTCTTTGCATGTACTATTCTATTGTACGTTCAAAATTAGAATACGGTTCGATTATTTGGTATCCTCATCATATCAACAACTCTGATGCGATAGAGAAGGTTCAGCGAAAATTTCTGAAATACCTTTATTATAAAACATATAAAATTTACCCTGAACGTGGCTTTGACCACAACACTTTACTAAAAGAATTTGGTATTCCTTCCCTTGCCTCACGTCGATTTATCTGTACAATTATGTTCTTATTTAAGCTTTGCAATAATTCTATAGACTGTCCTCTTATTCTCAATCAACTATCCTTTAATGTTCCAAGGCTATCTTCGCGTTCACAATTATTTTTCAATTATCCTACCCCTAAATCTAATTCTCTCTTAAATTCGCCAATTTTACTAATGTCCTCTAACTTTAACTTAATTAATAATGAAATAGACATTCACAACACTTCACCTAATCAAATAATCTCCATCTGCACAAGTTAATCTTTTTATTTTCTTTCAAATATCTCATTATTTTCTGTTTATAAATATTATTGTTACATTCTGCATTATATGAAATTTTATCTTAGCATTTTATGTTACTAACTATATATTGTAATTTTGTATTTATTTTAATTGTTATTCATTATGTCAAATAATTGTATTTTTGAGTCCTCTTGGAGAAATCTGTGGGCTATATATTAAAATAAATAAATAAATAAATAAATAAATGATAACATATGAGTAACGTTGTATTTGATTGCGTAAAACGCCTGACTGCACAGCAAATACATAGCATTTTGTATTTAGTAACCTTTTATATGATACGCGCTACGTGAAATAGCCTTGCCATAACATTGGTTTATTTTGCGGCAGAATCGACCCCATAATATATATATATATATATATATATATATATATTGAATGGTAGAGTCTTGGATTTGTGTATATTTTGTAGAGTTTCGAACAAGAATTTCTAAGCTTAGATGTGGTCAACCTTTTTACATGTGTCCCACATGAATTAATCCTAAGCTCAATCGATAAACGTTGGCACACAATTTGTAACTTTACTGACTTTCCGAAAACAGTCTTCACTCATATTATCAACACTATTTTAAATTACTCCTATTTCCATTGCCAAGACAACTTTTATTCTCAAATTAAAGGCGCAGCTATGGGATGTCCCTTATCTCCCGGAATCATCGACTTAGTTTTACAAACACTAGAAATTTCCGTTTTCTCAACTTTAAAATTTCAAATTAACTTTTATATTAGATATGTAGATAACACTTTTTTTATCATTAACAAAAATCATATAAACACAGTACTAGATCTCTTCAATAATTTTAACAATAATATAATTTTTACACATGAACTACAAAATAACAACAGACTTAATTTCTTGGATGTATCCGTTTACAACACTAATAACTTTATTCGAACAAATTGGTATAGAAAAACTACATGGTCGGGTAGATACTTACACTATTCCTTATACTGTCCCAGAAACTATAAGATAAACACTATTATTTCCCTTACAGACCATGCTATTTTGTTGTCTCACCAAACTTTCCATCCACAAAATTTATCCCTAGTAAAAATAACTCTAATTGAAAATGGTTACCCAAAAAATCTCATTCATTCAGTTATTCAAAAAAGACGAACTTTCTTAAAAACACAAATTAATTCTCCCAATACTAGTACTAACATCAAAAACACCAATCTTACTTACTGCAGCATACCATACGTTGAAGATTTATATTATTATTTTGCCAAAATTTTGTTAGAAGAAAACATTTTAGTATCAGGCTCATCCTTACACTCCTTCAACCAATTCTTTACGAACATTAAATCCCCTACCCCATCCAATCTCAATACTAATGTAGTATATTCTGTTTCTTGTAATGACTGTGCTTTTCAATATATTGGACAAACCTCCCAATATGTACAAAAGAGAATGAGACAACATGAACTAAGTGTGGTCCACCATAAACAAAAAAATTTCAAAAGTACCCTAGTACAACACTCTATAGAAAACGCCCATTCATTTAATTTCACTCCAAAGATTTTATATCATGAAAGTTGCATCTTTAGAAGGTTATTCGCGGAGAGTTGTCTCATTCTCATAAATGTTTCTAACAGTGTCAACATTAGATCAGATCACAACCTATTACATGATTCATATTTAAATTTTTTACACTTTTTGACAAACAATTAATATCGACTTCCTTTTAAGATCAACAATTTAAGTATTCACACCCTAACATATAAAAACACACACATACAATCTCACATCTCTCGTTCAAGTGTTTACACGTGTTACAAAGGACACACCAGTTTCAATTAGTTAATTTTCAAAAGCCAATCGAACAACATCCAGAGAACAATATTATTTGTGTTTTCAAATAATAATTTTAAAAAAGACAAATATTTTAGTAATTTTGATTTACAAAATCTAATTATTCGGCGGAAAATTAACTCACAAATTCATTTTTGTTAAAAAAGCTTGTTTAGTGAAAAAGTGCTAACAAATATTCAAACATACAGGTAATTAATTCAACTTTGTCATTAACCTTTTCTTAAAAAATTTCCATAACTTTCAAAAAATTTTCTATTATGTTTAATATCCTGTTCTGATAATACACTCATTTATTTTTATCATTTTTATCATTTTCATTTTGAACATATTATCATATTTCTGTACATTATTATATTTTTTTACAATTAATTCATTATTTAAGAAAAATCTATTTTCTTTTCCTAAACATATTGTTTGCTAAAATCTCATCAAGATCATGTTTCTTGACAGATGTCCTGAAGATGGAACGTACCTAGTTCCGAAACGTCGACAATAAACAAATAATTATTTGTTTAAATATAATATAATATAAATTGTTTTTTTAAAAACTTTTCTTGTTTTTTATTTTGTATTATTTTTGGATTCTTGTTCGAAACTCTACAAAATATATATATATATATATATATATATATATATATATGGTCATTGATAAGAATTATTTGTTCTACGAGTGTTGTAATTTAATTCCTTAACCTGGTGCTACTAGAAGGCAACCCAATGATTGGCCATTCTCTTTCTGAGAAGGTAATTATTAGATATATAAAGGCTATTTTTGTTTGATATCATAGCTGAGGTCTATAATCTCAAGTGAATATATAGATCTAATATCACTACTGTTTGATATCAAGCTGGCCAAGATGAGTATCAAGCCCAGAATATGTGGCTTCTAACCCTCGGTCAGTTCTATAAAAAGCAATACAATGTAATGACATATACATCTTATTAACAAAATACAAATAATTTAGAAAATTGCGATATAATACAAACAATTTCATTAAAACTTGACAACAAAACCGATAAATAAATAACGAATAATAATATCTAAAATACTCATAAAACTAAATAACATAAAATTAAAATTAGAAGCAGAAAAAATAAAATATTATGAATATTTTAAACACCACCGATAAACTTTTAACTGCTTTGGCACTAAAAATAAGTAAAATCAAAGTTCGAAGAACATATCAGATAAATTATATTTTTAAATTTTCTATTTTTGGCCAATGTATTCGCAATGTATTTTTTTAATACATAACTTGCGTGTAAAATTGTTGGTAAATGAACAATTTTAATTATTCATAAATGTTTTTGTTTTTATCAAAAAAATAATGTTTAACTTCCTGAAGGAGAAATAAGTTTCCACCAGAAAATTCGATTTGCTAATTTTATATTTTTCGACGGTTTAAATCATTTTAACACTAACAAGTGTGCAAATGTATGACTGTGTGTTTCTGTCAAAATTTGACTCGTGTAATGAATTGTGATTTCATTCAAACTTTGCATAGCGATATAGTTCAAGATCTTAAGGATCATGCTGAACAATCACAGACCTACGAAAAGTAGACAAATTTTAAAAAATCAATTAAGAATTAATTTAATTATCGGCAAGCGCATGTTTGGGCTTTTGTGCACCATGATTAAAACAGTGACACATATTATAAGCCTGAAAGATATTAATTGTAAAGCTTTATTTCCAACATTAACCTTGAAAATTTTATCTAAATAATTAAATCTTTATTTTCATCGATCAAGTCAATTATTTAAACATATCGGGAAGTTCATGCAACTTATTCTCAATTCTTATTTGAATCTCAAACGATTTAGAATGACTTAAAATGTCGACAAAACATAAAACTAGTAAGTCCAATTTTCTGGCAAAAATATTATGATATTCCAGAAAGCCGAAAAAACTAGATAAATTATAAATTCTTTTTATTAAATGAAATAAAAAATAAAACAAACTAAAAAACTGTTAAAAAGCAACAAAAAAGAACAAAAAGTTTAAGCACACCTATAACATTCTTTGAAAGAACTCTGGCACCCCCAAACCCGATGCCGTATACTTTATGATATAAACGAGCATGTTTATATAAACGTATTGTAAAATATAAATAGTCGATAATAAAACCTATATTAAAACCTTTCACAACAATATCTATTAACTAAAATCATTCGTATTCGCGCGGAAGGAACTTATTTGGAGCTACGCGTAGTATGGGAACTGCGTTTTCAGAGTACCGCGTTATCGGAGGGTAGATTGTATTTGCAAATTGGAGACAACAAATGATATTTATATTTTATGAAAAAATGTATAAATACAATTTTTTATTAAAAATAATATTAAATGTTCTTTGTATAATTAATTTTAATGTAGAACGACTGTTATCTTTTTGAAATCATCAAATAGCAGAATGTATAAATACACACAATTTATTTTTTTTATTATAAACTTTTTTAATAATAAATATATTTTTTATGATCAATCGCTAAACTCGTACTTTCAGTTAAAATGACTATTCGAATTGGAATCGTCAACAAAATCCGCCAAAATCAGACGCAGTTACTGTCTATATGCGTAGCTATCATTAGTATCCCCATACGAGGTATGCATATCATATAATCTAAGAATTCGAGTTGCTCTTTAATGAAATTAAAACTTTTAAGAAACTCTTCAGCAAACCATTACCCTTACCGTACTTAGAATACAAACTTTTGATGCGGTACCATAAACATATAGAATGTATTTCAGTTTGTCGAGTATATCTTTCAACACACTACCAGACACATCAGCGATGTCAAAGTTTTGAAATATATCATATCTTACAAAATTCTAACCGTAATATCAATACACAGACGAAATTGACATATTTAGACACATGCAGATGCATATGCAGACAATATTGCTTACATGCATGCCATTTTACCACAATATAACACTTATTGTATTTAAATATTTAAGTCTGATTGCTTATTATTATTTGTTGAATTTTATAAATAAAAAATTGAACCTAAGACCTTCAACTATATCGCTGCGCAAAGTTTGATTGAAATCGCCAAATATTCACAATTCATTACACGCGTCAAATTTTGGCACACAAACACACAGTCATACACTCGCACACTTTTTCCAATTTTAGTGTTAAAATGATACGAAACGTCGAGAACTATAAAATTGTCAAATTGAATTTTCTGGTGGAAACTAATTTCTCTTTCGGGAAATTAAAAATTATTTTTGATATAAACAAAAACATTTATGACTAATAATTAAAATTAATTTTGTAGAAAAAAACGTACTGGTACGAAAGAAAGCTTCAGTTTTTATAGCGCCAAAGTGCGACCAGAATGTTTCACGTTAAGCGACTTACAATTAGTCTACATAAAGTTACATAATGAAAATTTGTTATTAAAATGAAATGAAATGTTATATATATATATATATATATATATATATATATATATATACATATATATAGAATATATAAATGTGTATGCGTTTGTATACAGACAAAAATATATGAAAGAAATTTATAAAATTATTACTTAATGCTATTATTTAATTTGTATTGAAAGCAGATTTTTGTTTTTAATTTTTATTTCAAAAATTATGATAAAACAAAGAATGTTATGTCAATGCTATATCATGGCTATATCTATTATATTTTTCAAACAAAATCAACAGCTGTTGCCTGGGTGATAACAGGCCACGGTATAAACAATCGAGAATCAAATCATTGTTATACATGTTTTTGTAAACGTAATGTATGTGATAAACTATTATTTGCCATTATGCCTATAATAGTCAAAGATTATGTTTGGTCGCAAAATGAAGAGTCCGTATTTGTTCATCTATCACTGCGAGGAGTGCACCCTTCCAAGGTAGATATTTTTACTTGTGATAATTACATAAAGGTTAACTTCGAAAAGTATTTGTGCGAAATATTTCTCCACCAAAATGTCATCGATTCCGAAAGTAAGTGCTTGCTCGATGATAAAGATGTTTCCTTCGAATTGCGGAAAGAGATACCCGAGGAGTGGTCGGCGCTTGAAGCTGACATTCCTAAAAGTGAGAAATTGAAGTTAAAGGAAGAGATTATTAAAAATAGAATGATCAAAGAAGAAGAATTGAAAAAAGAGAAAACCAAACGCAAGCAAGAAATCAAAAGCTCAGCCACGCAAAGCCAGATTTGGGAGGATGGACAACTACGTCAACAGATCGACTTGCTGCGGAAGAAACAACAAGATGAGTTTTTTAAGGACTCTGAAAATCCAACCGTGGAAGAAATATCTGAAGAAGAAGAGATGCCTATAGTCATTAAAAAGAAGAAGAAGAAGAAGAAGAAGATACCACCAAACTTTGAGGGTTTTTGGCCACCGGCGCCAATGGTGGACACTTCTAAGGTAAAAACACCTCATACATATAGTATTGCATCATAATATGTTAATAATAATTAATAACTTAATAAAATTTAATTTTATAAAGTTTCATCATTTCGCTCTTAAAGGTACCAGAACCGCGTGCAAGTGGAACAATAAGCGTCGACTTCACTAGAAGAGAGTTTCCAACGCCTAGTCGAGAATGCTCAGCAGAAATGGAATCGGAATGGCTCAAGAAGCAAGTTGAAGCCCAGAGAGAAATGGGTATAACTAAAAATAATATAATTTGTTAAATAAATTAATTAAATAATTTCATTATGAGCAGAAAATGAATCAATTATTAACATTTCGGAAAAAACTTCTAGTCCAAATTTAATTAACTTCTAGTCCACCCATCAAAATTCATGGGTGGGCTCAAGCACACACAGCCCACACAGCCCACACAGCCCACACGGTTCCGACGCCACTGTATATATATATATATATATATATATATATATATATATATATATATATATATATGTGTGTGTGTGTGTGTGTGTGTATAAATATATATATATATATGCATATAAATAATGTATTAGAACCCAATTTTTTGAACCCCTTTTGTTTTACAATTTCAAGGTTTTACATCTGCTGATCTACGTCCTGAAGAAAGGAATCCGACTTGGTTGAAAGAAAAGGGCGACGATTTCTTTAATAAACAGAACTACAGGTCTGCCGTGAATGCCTATACAGCCGGCATTCAGATCAATTCTAAGATGCCTGCATTGTATGCAAACCGAGCATCGGCGCAGTTCAACTTGCAACACTTCAATCGCTGTGTAGGTGGAAATAATTAAAACAATATACATTAATTATTAATCATTATTAATTATTAACATCAATCAATAATTATAAAATTTTGAAAATTTGTTTTTTTAACAGTTAAACTCAAATATTCAAGCAATAAGATTCCCACAAACTTAGCAGAAAGTTGTACAAAATTTTGTTCATTTTTTTCTGTGACTTTATATCTGAAGTCGAACAATATTTTAAAATGCTTGATCAAATAGTAAGAATTTTGAGATAAAGTGATCAATTAGTTCAATAACTTAAAGGTGCAGATCAAACGTCGACATTTAAATGTCTCCAATATACTATACTAATATGTGTAAACCTTTTCTACAGTATAATGAATGTAGATTTTACTCTACGCTATGTAATTAATATAATCATATATTTCTGCAGCAATTCAGTATTCATTTAAAATTTCAGATCGATGACTGCACGAAGGCATTAGAACTCTTAGTCCCAGCATGTGATGCAAATCTTAAGGCAAGAGCTTCTTGTATAGCCAGAAGAGGAGCAGCACTGTGCCAAGTAGGCTATCTTGGACAAGGAATTGAAGAGATGATGTCTGCTTTAAAACTAGATCCTTATAATACAGAGTTAAAAACTGATATTGAAAAGGCTAAAAACAAATTTCACAACAAAGAAGAGTAGTTAAAATTTTAATAATTTTTATTGAATATTATAAATTAGATAACTCAGGAATACGTAACAATAAATAATATTTTAATTTATTTCTTCTGTCATCACATTATAATTATTTGTTTAACATTCTTCTGTTTAGTCCTCAATACACTTTTTGTTTGTAAAAATTAGTGAACTGTGATTCTACCAATTAAGTATTACGATACGCCATATGACAATTAAAAAGTACCTAGCTATTGTACAATTTTACTGAAATACAGTCTAACATATGAATCTTAACTTGTATCGTTTGTCTAGATCTTAATTTGTATCAAATTAAAATAATATATTTACATTATTCCAGTCAATGTGTTAATACATAAAATCTTCATACTTCATTATCTTTAGATGATTGATTCTTATACTTTTCGAAACCCAAATATTTAATTAAAGCTTTTGGTGTTGGATCCCGTCCCCGGAACCTCCTAAATAATTCTGATGTGTGATTACTACCGCCTAATTCTAAAAATGTTTCTCTGAAGCGTTTGCCTACGGTGGAAATTGTTTCTTCTAAGGGGTCTTCATAAAATGCACTAAAGATATCAGCAGCTACAAACTTAGACCAGATGTGACTGTAATATGCAGCAGCCCATTGCTCAATAAATATTTGTGAAAATGAGCAAGGGTGAGCATCTCGCTTATCTAATGGGAAGACTATGTGATCAGGCCAAATCCGTTTTACTACATCATACCAGAAGTCTTTGCTAGAGTGCAGTTCAAGATCAAGATTAGCCAGATATATTTCTCTACATAATTCGAAGCCTTTCATATGCTGGTTTACTTGTATTATACTATGTATCATATCATCAGTTAATTGTTGCTCTGTCGTGTGATTATAACTAATAGATTTCAGTACATCTTTATCAGTGAGCCAGTTAGACATAACGTGACCACATATACCTACAGCATCCCATTCAATGTTAGATAGACCTGATACATCGGAGTAAGTAGCCTGCGAAAGCAAATGCTGTAAGGCGTGTCCAAATTTGTTGAATAAAATTGATACCTCTTTTAGAGACAGAAGAGAAGGTATATTGCCCTCAGGAGGATTTAGACTTAAAATTAATGATGCTAATGGTGTTGTATCCACAATTTTACTTTTATTGCGCATACTCAACATCCATCCTGAACTCTTTTGGAATATCTTCTCTTCTTCTCTAGTATAAGGATCTAAATAAAATCCAGCCAGTGGCAATTCAGCTGCAGAATCATGTATATCAAAATACCTTACATCTTTATGCCAAGTATTCATATTTGACCTTTCGATAATTTTAATACCATACAACTTTTCACACAACTGAAATAGCCCGTTCAAAACCTTTGGAAATGGGAAGTACTCACGGAGAACCATATCATCATAATTGAAGTGATGCTTCCTGTATTTTCTTTGCCAATATGGCACATCATACAATTCCAAATTCGCATTAAAACCATTCTCAGCAGCAAATTCCTCCAAACTTTGAATTTCATGCTCTTGAGCTGGTCGAGCAGATTCAAGAATCGTATTAAGCACATTCCTAACATTATGAATACTACCTGCCATTTTCGTTTCCATAGACATATCAACAAAACTATTATATCCCAGAATGGTAGCTTGATCTCTTCTTAAACGTCTTAAAGATTCAACGTGGGTGCTATTGTCAAGTGCTTTATCATTATTGCTTGAAGCTTTTCTAGTATCGGCTTGCCAAACATTCCATCGTAAGTCTCTTATAGAACAATATTCAAGAAAACTAGATACCATATATGATTTTAAAATCACTTTCCAAGGTCCTTTCTCGGCATGCAAAGAGTCAGTGCTCATATCTTTCTTAATATGATGTGGAAATTCTTTCATAATTTCGGGATTGGTAATAGTGTGAGTAAATTGTTTACTTGCAATTTCTAATTTGTTTTTAAATTTAGTCTGTTCTTGAGCAATATTGTTGCGTACTTCTTTCAAGTGTTCCTTTTTATCAGAATCTAATTCAAGACCATTTAACCTCCCTTCTAATAGATACTTTTGCATAATTCTCTTCTGTTCTTCAGACAAATCGACATTTGGTTGCAAATTAGCATTTTTGATAGTATTATAAATTTCCTTACTATTAAATCGTGACGTTCTGGCTCTCATAGCTCGTTCATGTATACTTAAATAACTTTTGGTTGGCATGAGCGACTGATTTCCTAGGTATAAAGTTTTGGCTAAGCCCCATGTTAATTCTAAGGGAGCAGCAAGCTCTTCGAGTTTATCAAAAACTTCTAAAGTTCTGAATACTGTTTCTGGCCCGGATGAGTTACAATTTTTGAGTTCGTTCTCTATGTCTTGAACACCATTTTCAAAATTTATTGCTTGTTTACCAACAGCAACCATGCATTTTTCTATCGTGAGGGCACTGAATTCTGGCAGTCCATCATCAACTCTGAGGAGCGGATTCTTTTCAGGCAAATCTTCGCCTATTTCGGGCACTCTGGGAAAAAAATTACTGAATTATAACAAAGAACACTCTTGTAATTAAAATCTTAAAAATGTTACTATATTATAAAAATTTCAGGTGTTCAATAACAATAGTAATACATTTTCTCCGCACTTATAATTTTTCAATAAGTAAAGTGGTTGCAAATTATATAGAAATTAAATATTATTCAGTATATTAGTTATAAAGTGTCATGAAATTGAAGACTAAGACAATACGGTTTAGCAAATCATTTATGTCTGTCTTTTAATATTTCAAGTGAGTTAACTGAATAAGTAAACAAGGATAAAAATGTATTTATTGGAAATCGATCAGAACGCCTTTATATCGACGTTTTACTTCGGCAATTAAAAAAAAAAAAATCAAGAATAATCCAGTAAGAGTTTGTAATTTTAAATAAACAGAACTGTTCCAAATTCAATTATTGTTGACAATCATTTCATAAACAATAATACGCAATAATATTGTTGGATTGATAGACATTGATGGATATAACCTATATCTGCCACTTACAAAACAATATAGCCGCTATTCCTTTTGCTATAATAATTAAAGGTTCGAGTCAATAGGGCACGTTACAATACATTGAATATGCCATTTTTCACTTTTATACAGAAAACTAAAGAGAACATACACTCATTTTCGATTTAAAAAAATTAAAATCAAAGTTTATGAATATGAACCACAGCACTTCATGAGATATCACAGAGAAAGAACAAAGCAAGCAGATGAGTAGTACACGTGCGTTTCCAATGCGCGGCGACACTGTTTTTCGATACATATATTTTATTAACTTCCCGTAGGGCAAGTTATAGTAATCGCAAAAAAATCGAAAATGAAAATTTTTATATATCTTTACGTTTCAGAGGTTTCTGAACATTTTGGCATACCTTAGAAAAAATGGATGTATGTGTGTGTGTGTGCGTGTATGTATTTGTGTGCGGATACAAATTTTCGTCGACGATTTCGGGAACACGGATCAACCGATTTGAATAATTCAAAAAACATTCGATTCGTATTGATAAGGAGACGTGCTGATTAGTTTTTGGCGAAGGCAGGTCTAGCCGTTCCGAAGATACGGGGCAAAAAGTGCCGAAAAACGGTAACAAAGTTTTAAGAGAACGGAGCATTTTATTTGTATTGACAAGATGAAGAATCGATAAATTTTCATGGAGGTAGGTCTAGCGGTTTCGGAGATATGGAGGAAAAAGTAAAAAAATGAGCCATTTGGCGGTCAAAAGTGATCATTAGGACATATGCACATCAAATTATCAGATGGTTTATAAAGATTTTAACAAAAAGTATAAATTTTGTTTACATTCCTATGGGTTCCGTACCAATGTTTATCCGTTAGACGGCGACGCGGCGCTTACGCGGTGTGACATTTCGTCTCTATGCAGTTAAAGCAGTTCGATTGAAAAAAAGTTCATAATTTCCAAAATATGTCAAAATGAAGAAAACATTTTTCTTTTCAAAAAAAATTTGTTTTCAAAAAAAAAATTTTTTGTTAAAAATATAGTTTCTCAAAAATGTAATTTTATCGAAGTAATTTTTCTTCAAAAATGTTAATCGTCTAAAAAAATAATAATTTTTGGTACGGGAAGTTCCAGCAATTGCCTTAAGACACGATGCCATGCGCCCCACTAGTTTTATTTGTAATTAATATACTAACTAATTTTAATACTAGGGCGCATGGCATTGTGCCTTAAGGCAAATTGCTGAAACTTCCCGTACCGTAATTAAACATTCGAAGAATAAAAATTAGACCACGTTGTTTTATATATGTTTGAATGAAATATATATAACAAAATGTAATTAAGCGTACTTATTGTTAGAATGAACAAATTTTATTTCAAATGCATCAATTTTTTGTTCGCCAAACTTATGCACTGAGTTAATAATTTTAAATAGTTCATGTAGTATCAACTATACAAACATAAAAAGTAAAAAAAAAAACATTTAAAAATCAGATCAGTTTTGACTTTTTTATCTACTAATTGCGGTGACGCGCCAACCAACTGAGCTATAACGACAAGCTCACGCACAACGCTATGAGCGGATATCTAGGATCTAATCGGAATTTCTGCACTTTTTGCTCCGTATCTTCAAAAGGCTAGACCTACCTATACCAAAAACTAATCAGCACGTCTCCTTATCAATACAAATCGAATGTTTTTTGAATTATTCAAATCGGTTGATCAGTGTTCCCGAAATCGTCGACGAAAATTTGTATCCGCACACACACACATCTGTCCATTTTTTCTAAGGCATGTCAAAATATTCAGAAACCTTTGAAACGTAAACATATATAAACATTTTTATTTTCGATTTTTTTACTGAAATTACTGAACAGTAGTAGTCAAAAAACTATTACTAGCATGACTAGGCGTAAGTGGCATTTTGCCTTAAGTCAATTTCTGAACTATCCGATACGTGATGTAATCGACTTAAAGAGGTATTCTAGTCTAGAAGTTTTAAAAAATCGTTTTTCAATTTCCCGAAGGAGAAGATTATGTTTTCACCAGAAAATCCGGTTTGCAAATTTTATCTTTTCTCTACGTTTCAAGTCATTCTGAATTGAATGAGACCAAATTTGGAAAGAGTATGTATTTGTGGGTGTGTGTGTAGGTGAGCCGATTTTTTACCTATCATCGCTTTTTTTCTTTCAAAAACGGCTGAACTGATTTAAAAATTCGGAAGCCAATCGATGAATTTTTTTAAGCACTCGCGTTGATTTGTTTTTTGATACTATGGCTGAGTTATTTCTTCAGAAGAAGCAGAAAATGCAAAATTTCTCGTCCACGGTTTAGCCAAAAATCTCGAAACGATTTTGAGAATTAAAAAACTATTCGAAACATATTACTTGGAAACCTGCTGATATTTTTAAAGATAAAAAACTAATTAGGCCTAGTTCTGTGTACGGTGGCAAAATTATAATATATATAAGATATATTATATATATATATAATATATTCGATATATCTATATATTATATAGATATATTATATATATATCGAATATATATATATATATATATATATATATATATATAATATATATATATATGTATAAATTAAAAGTAGTAAATTTATACAACTTTTTCAATATAACAATGAATTTTTTATCGTAAGCATGCCGCGACCGGGTCCATGTATGATTTATAAAACAATTATCTCTCATTATTTATATTATTTCTTACTGCAGTAACCCTGACTAAGTTTTGTTAATGAATTTCAATTTATAAGTCAAACATATCGTTTCATTTATTATAGTTCATGTTTACTTCTAAACAAAAGTAGTATCATGTTTATAAAAATTTTTAGGGCTCGTAATTTTTTTAAATACTTGTGAAATACATAATCGAAGTAAAATTGTATACATTTCAATTATTGTGTATTCAGGAAGGATTTTCAACAGATCAAATATTTATATACCATATGAATATATAGTTTCTATTAGAGAAACTGACAACTTTTTAATAAAACTAATTTATACATTCAACAAATTTTATGTATAAATGCTATTTACTATTAATGATTTGTGAATCATAACTATTTCATAAAAAATTGAAACATTATATGCTGTAACTATCATTACATTATGGGTGTAACATCATTACAGTACTTCAATTCAAATTAACCTTTACTGAACATTACATGCAGAAGTCAAAAAATTAATATTAGTTTTATGAATAGTCACATGTAATTTAGATTAAAGAGTACCAAAAACA